ATCTTTAAATTTCCAAAGGATGCATATAGGATATTTTGGAACATCATCCCTGAAGAAAAATCAGTTAATGTTTTACTTAACAGGAATCCCATACAATCTACAGGGACAAGGCATAGTTGAAAGAGCTCATCAAACTATTAAAATGTACTTATATTCTAACAGGACAATGGAAAGGTCCTGACCCAGTGATTGTCTGGAGTTGGGTGTCTGTCTGTGTGTTTCCACAGGGAAAACAGCAGCTGATTTGGATTCCGGAAAGATTAACTAAAGCGATTTCTACAGACCAAAAAGAAGATGATTTGGCTCAAATCCATAACAGCTGATATTCAGAACTCCAGTTTAGCTATTCTTACATCTGCGACAGTGATTCTCCCACACCTGGAGGCTAATGAATAATAAACACCATTAAGGCCTATTTCAAATGTAAGAAACCTTGAGGCTTACTTGTGGGAATACCTTCAGACTCATATGCAAGTTACAGGAAGAAGGATGGGATATCATAAGAGTCAAACCCAAGTGGTAACCAGGATGCTTTTTTTTTCAATATCTATTTTATTATTGTCTTTTCCCACACCATGAAGTTCTATTTTATTTTTTGAGCTCATACAGACCTAGGTTAATGTTTTGCTGATCAGTTCTAGTTTTGGACTGTAGAGTTTTTAAACATTGCAATGGAGATTTCACCTGTAAAAAGCTACAAGGCTTTACTATTGTCTTATGTGTTGTATGTTATGTGTGCACACTTGTGTTTTGTGTTGTATGTCTGTATGTGCATATGTCCATATATATGAGGAGCACTCATGAAAAAATGGATCCAAATTTTTTTTTTATTCATGTGATTTAAATGGTTTAATTTAAATTGGGTAAACAGCTGTTGAGGATTGTTTTAATATGTGAACAAAAAAGGAAGTCAACAGATCTGTTTGTTTACTTTTACCTTTCCTTTTCATTATATTTAATAATTCTGATCAGGATAATGTAAATTGTTTAGAAAATTGCTTTCTTTTAGTGCCTGCTGGAATGTTACATAATTTTTTTTTTTTAGCCATCATTGCCAGAATTCCTATCTTCATCCCAGTGCCATTGAAGATAAAGATAAAACTAAACTACAGCTTCTACGATAGCTATCACAGTAAACTGCATAAACTGATGCATCAATGAATAATAACTCAACAAGTGATGCTCAATCAAGGAGTTGATTTACTTTGGGAGGAAATGGACATATTGATGGATTCCTCTGCTTTGAACTGCTTGCAGAACTTGCCTGGACGATGTATCACTTACATGCATTGTGAACTATCTGTTGGTGCAGCGAATTGTGGTAGTGCTGGAGTATCTTTGCTGATGGTGTCTTCGGTGGTACAATTTTTCCAAAAAGAGCCATCATTTGGCTTGGTGCCGTGGCATTTTGCATCCTCCTCCCTTTCTGCTTGTGATGGTCTAAAATTTGGGAGCCAACAGAGGTGAGGCAAAGAACCTCACCCCCCCACTGGTGCAAAGGCCTATCCACAAGTATGGCTGTATGTTGGACAGGTAGCCAATGACGGGTAAGATCCAATTACAATGGTACCAACCTAAGACAGGAGGCTGATGCCTTGAGGTCAGCTCATCTGATGATAGGTAAGGACCATATGTAGTATTGGACAACCTAAGACAGGCAAGGTCCCTAAGCCACATGCTTGTTGTTTAATTAAACAGAAGCGGGGAGATGTTGAGAGCCACAGTTTAGTCAGAATGACGCCTGGCATTTTTGCCAGAGGGAATGGCTGAAAGGTGACCCTGCTCCGGGATTAGGGAGGCTCCAGGGATTAGGGCGGATCCTGCTGGGAATAGGGTGGCTCCAGGATTAGGGCGGATCCTGCTGGGATTAGGACGGATCCTGCTGCCTCGGGCGCCAGCTACTTTGGAGTTCTCACTGGGTTCTGAGAGAATTGGAGGAGGAGGAGGCAGGGTGTTCCCAGGAAGTATGTGTAGAGTGCTGGAGAGAGTTCAGGAATAAAAAAGAGTTGCTGTTTGAACCTTACAAGGCTTTGTGGCGGCTTGGTTATTTTGTGCCCAGCCAGATTGCGGCATATAGTATTCATAGGCAGAGGAACAAGCAAGGGGCTTCGGAAATATTGGCAACCTTCTATTTTGTTTTGTTTTCCTATTGCTAAATTTTATAATAAAAGGGTTTATACATTTCAAATAAAAATTAATATAAACACTGGTAAAGCAAATTGTTCTACAGGTAATTTTTTAAAGCATAAAAAGCAATTAAATAAATTCACAGTAGGATTGATAATCATACCAAAGTGTGCAAGAGATTGCTAGAAAAAAATGGACTCTTGTCCTACTTAAGAACAGAATATTGCACAAAAGCCAGAGAATCAGGAGTTAGTACAGTCCTTTCAACTACTGGGAAACATCTTGGGCAAGTTATTAAAACTCCTTGTACTAATTTCCTCATCCCCAACATTAGGATGATAATAGTGTTTTAGGGTTATTGTGGGGATAATAAATAAGCTACTACATGCAAGGTATTTAGAAATAAGCTGGCACAAAGTTGGTACCAAACACATAACAATTATAACTTTTAACAGTTTACAAACTTGGATACATAAGTTTGCCAAATCTGACAATGCCAAGAATAGCAAAAATTAGTCAATTATGTAACATATACACATTAATTACATGACTGAGCAAAAAAGTCTTTTAGGAATTATCTAATTTTGAAAACCTAGAAGTGTTTTTTTGTTGTTGTTGTTGTTGTTGTTTACATTATAAGAATATTAAGAACTAACTGTTATTTCCCAGATGCATTCTGGGTAAAATGGGGTTGAGTGCAAACAATATATATCATGAGAAGCTTAATTATCATATCAAGAGAACCTTGTGGATATATACAGCCTATTTTGATAGCCTACTAATAGGTTAATAAATACATCAAACCATTTCCCCAATATGGAAGGTGCCACATAGCTCAGCAAAACAATTTGCTCAGGCACTAATCTAAAACACTGGTCATTTACATTTTAAACACATACTCCGATTTATGTGTTGATCTTAATATTCAAAAATGTATATAAGATGAGAAAATGGCTATCAAAAGTGCCATTGTAAATCTATGCCAAGTTCCAACAGTAACAGTTAAAAATAATGCAGCCAATGTGGCTTAAAAAAACCCAAAAAAACCCACTGGTAGCTTTTAGTCATTTTACTACAAAAGGTCTTTCAGGAAGAAAATACTAATAGCAAGAATTTAAATGCTGTGGGGTGTGGGCTGGGGTTGTGGCTCATCAGTAGAGTACTCGCCTTGCACATCCAAGACCCTGGGTTCAATCCTCAGCACCACATAAAAATAAATAAGTGAAATAAAGGTATTGTGTCCAATTACAACTAAAAAATAAATATTAAAAAAAAACTTAAATGGGAGGAAAAAAAAAGTATGCAGTGCAGTAAAAGGTGTGTTATTATAGGGGAAAAAAGGATACACACACATATATACAAACTCTCATTCCTAGAACTTATCTACCTACTCATCTTCAAATCTCCTCAGGCAATTTTATGCACACTCATCCTCAGATCAAGTCCTGTCATATACCTGCTCAAATTCCAAATCTTTAAAGAGGATTTGTCTGATCATTCTATCTAAAATAGAAGCCTGTGTCACTATGCCCTATCTACACTTTAATTCATAGCACTTAATATATCCTACATTATATCTGTGTGTTCCTTCTGTCTCCCTACACCCTACCTCCCTTATCTGCTAGAATGTAAATTCCAAGGAGATGACATTCTCTATGCTGTTCACTGTGTACTTTCAGCATGGTAATGATGGGTGATACAAAGTAAGCTCAAATCAGTCTTTCCTGAGCTCTACGCCTAGACACCCAACTACTTATTCTACATTTCCATCTGCATGGCTTGAAAATCAAATTCAAGATAACCAAAATGGAACTAATGATCTTCACCCAGTCCCAACTTCAACAACAATGGCATGTCAGCAATGGCACCATTAATCACTCAGTGACTTAAACAAAAACTAAGGGGTCATTTCTCCATTTTCTTCACCCACTGCATCTAACTATCAAGTCTCTTCACTTTTATCTTTCTCAAATTGATGACTTCTCGCCTTTCTAACTTTCCTTGCAAGTCCAAGCTATCATTATCTTGAACATGACTACTATAATAATCAAGTAATTTCCTGCCTGTTGCTCCTTCCAAATCTAAATTCTCCTTTTCAAATATCACTATTATATTTACAGCTCTTCACTGGTTTCCTATTGCTTTTCAAATAAAAACCAAAAACTTTAATACAGCCTTTGAACCCACCTACTTCTTTCTATAGGCTCACAAATCACCAATTAAAACAAAACAACCAGCTTCCTATTTTGATATTGCCCTAAGTTTGTTTTCAAAATATTTAGCAAAATTTACCTCTTAAGACTCAAACACATAAAAAAAAAAAAATCTGTAGCATCACAACATTAATGTTTCTATTTCATATTAAAACATTTAGACAATCATCCTTTTAAAATATTGGGCATACATCCAYACAGGTGAATATATGGTAAGATACGTTGTTAAATTTAAAAGAAAAATGAATCATAAGAATGGCATGTATAAACCCTTTTGTGTTGGGTAGGGCAGGGAACCAAACAGATATATACACAGATTTTATATACGTACATATATATACATATACACACATAAATTGGGGGTTAAGGGACAGGAAAGAATATTTACTGAAAGTTATGTCCTTTTGTATATTGTTCCAAAATAATTTTAAGTGATTCTTTAATTTTTAAAATTATACTTTTACACATTATATATACATATTATTATTTTGAATGTGTTTCAATTTTATAATTTTTAAAAATATTTTTTAGTTGCAGATGGACACAATACCTTTATTTTATTTATTTACTTTTATATGGTGCMTCACATGTGCTAGGCAAGTGCTCCTCCACTGAGCCACAACCCCAGCCCTTAATTTTATAACTTTAAGAATGATTTTTTGAATATTTTTCAGACATGATATGAAATTAGCATAATGAAATAACCAGAATCTCTGTGTTTACTCTTTGACATTTCCTCAAAAACCAAATAAACTATGGGACTTAATCCATGTAATGTTAGCCAAGAATTAAAAGGCAAAGAAATAATTTATGACTCCATTCCCTTCAGTTTCTCTGGCCACCATCTCCCAATGACCAATGCTGAGAAGGGAGGGAAAAAGTTCAAAATTCCAATCACAGAAGCTCAGACAAGCTCCAATTTGGTCCAGCCATAATCCCAATGTACAAAAATTAAACTACTTCCTACCTTGACTTGACAATCTCCTTCTCATATATTTCTTCAATAACCTGTTACCAAAATTATAAAAATGTATTAGTATCTCAAACAACTTTTTTAGACCCTGGTAGTTTTCAACCACACAGTGATGCTGTAAATAAAATTGATACAGAATTACAAACTACCACACAGTGTTGCTGTAAATAACACATAACATGTAGATAATTAATACAAATTCTGACACATGATGAACTTTTAATAAATGTTATCAGGAGGAGCAAAAGTAATAGTTGTACTAGTAGTAAAAAATTAAATACACACATACAACCACCCAATCTCTACTGTAAAAGACTACAACATCTTAACAGTACAGAATGTATTTGTCAAATAAATGTTTGAAGGTGACAGAGATGGAGATTACAGATCAAGCAAGTCTTATTCAATCTAGAGTATTCTCTGTTATTGTTTTTATTTTATCAACATTCAAGCTAAATAATAAAACAAAGGGTATGAATCACTTTAAGTATCAACTTGTAATGAAGTTCTTCTGAATAGGCATACATGGCTTTATCTAGAAGTATCTAGTATGAACTAAAATGATCTGGATATGAGTTGAATTGCTAAAAAGCTTAATCTAATTAGTTTAAACTCAATCTAGTAGTCCCATCAGGATATTTTCATTATTTATGCAAAATTACTCCAAGGACTCCCGGCCCCAACAAATACAAATGTAAAAATACACAGACAAGTTATAGGAAGACAAAGTAAACCTGCTGATAATCAAAAGTAATTAACAGTTGGGCATGGTGGCGCACACCTGTAATCCCCAGTGGTTCAAGACACTGAAGCAGGAGGATAGAGAATTCAAAGCTGGCCTCAGCAATGGGCAGGTGCTAAGCAACTCAGTGAAATAAAATACAAATTAGGGTTCTAAATACAATACAAAATAGGGCTAGGGCTGTGGCTCAGTGGTTGAGTGCCCAATCTCAATCCCCAGTACCCTCCCCCCAACCTGCAAAATAGTAATTAACATATGCCATGTTTATAGATATTCTACTGATGAAAGGATTACCAGAACAACAAAAATACATTGATAAATTAAATATTTAAGTTCAAATAATGAAATACATTTTAAGTTAAGAGGTTCATATCACAAAGAGTTCCTAAAGCATCATAGTTCAATTTTATAACAGCAGAACTTAAAAGTTTGAGTCTTTATTACTTGTTTTTTTGTTTTGTTTTGTTTTTTTGGTACCAGGGATTGAACTCAAGGGCACTCAACCACTGTGCCACATCCCCAGCCCAACTTTGTATTTTATTAAAGACAGGGTCTCAATGAGTTACTTAGCACCTCGCCATTGCTGAGGCAGGCTTTGAATTTGTGATCCTTCTGTCTCAGCCTCCTGAGCTGCTGGGATTACCCATGTGCTAGGCTATGCCCAGTCTTTATTACTTGTTTAATCATATGCAATATATCAACAACATTTACTTTATAGAAAGATCTCTTTTAAATAATCTATTTTAACAAGAATTAACCCTACAATTAAAAAGTTTTCCTTTCACTTATTCTAAATTGCTTAAACTGTTAAGTCCATCCCTTACTAAATACGGGTTCTTAGTCATCTTTTCTTATTTTTTCCAAATTTTTTTATTGGTGCCTTACAGTTGTACATAATCATGGGATCTGTTGTTACATATTTGTACCTGCACACAATATAACAATATGATTTAGCAATACAGCAAGCACTCCCCAGCTTAGTCATGTACCTCACTAAACAATTCCCACTCCGTCTTCCATTATTACAGACTTTTATCTCAGTTTATCAGCCTAACAATAAAAAGAGAAAACAATAGACTGTATCCTAAATGAATTACCAAAAAACTTATACAAAAATTTCTGTATATTTACAAAAATATTCATTACATGGTCACTTAATCAATTTAAAATAGCCTAAGAATCTATAAACAGGAAAATGTTTAAACAAATAACATATGAATAATTTTTTTAAAAGCTAAAAGTAAAAAAAAAATAATAATAACAAAGGCTATCTCTGGGTACTGACTTTTATTGTCTTATGTGTAACATTTTAATTTTTTTATTTGTTCTAATTAGTTATATGTGATAGTAGAATGCAGTTTGACACATCATACATAAATGGAGTATAACTTCTCATTCTTCTGGTTATAAATGATGTAGAGTTACAGAGATCATGTAATCATATATGCACATAGGTAACAGTGTCCAATTCATTCTACTATCATTCTTACTCTCATACCCCCTCCCTTCCCCTCACTCCTCTCTGTCTAGTACAAAGTATCTCTACTCCTCCCTAGTCAGCCCCATGTAACATTTTTATTTTCCAAATTTTCTAACATAAGTAATTATTAGTTTGATAATCAAAAGCTATATTTTTAGCTTTTAAAAAAATTATGGAGGGCTGGAGCTGTGGCTCAGTGGTAGAGTGCTYGCCTAGCACGCACGAGGCACTGGGTTCGATCCTCAGCACCACATACATGTAAAATAAAGATATTGTGTCCATCTAAAAAAAAACTTAAAAATAAATATTAAAAAAAATACAGAAAGCTTTTGTTGAATTAACCATTTAAAAGAGAAACAAAAAGCATATCTACTCATAAGAAAAGTATTGCAAACCAAAAATTCTTACCTTTATGTCAAAAGGTGATTTTTTCTTGATGTGAGGAGCCCAGTATTTACATGCTAACTGTAAAAGTAAACATTATAAACAGTAAGTTCATAGATTCATATCACTGTTGAGCTAGAAGACAAAAATCATTTAAGGAAAAGCTGTTTCTTAAAGCAGTACTAGTACTGAGGGGACAGAACAACTCTAAAGGGACAATACAGATACCTGGGTATGCAGGCTAGTAGCATCCTCTACCATAACCCATGAAATGCCAGTAGTGCTGTGCACTGCAATTTGCCATTGTGATTAAAAAAAAAAAAAATCAAAACATACCTATACCTCCCTTCAACTAGAACTAAGAAAACTATATGACTAGGTCAAAAACCAGAGTTTAATAATATAGCTTTATATAATTACTAAACACCCAGACAGACATAAAGAAAATCTTAAAAGAAAAAAAAGACCCTTTAATTTATAAGCTAGTTATTACAGAGGATATAGGAGTTAGTATGTTATATTTCAGCAGTGAGTTTCACTTGGAAACTTAAATTAATATAAATAATCTCTTCAGATACTTAGATGGATTATATAACATCAAAGAAACACGTTATTATTTTTTAAAAAACTAAATTACAATCTCTTAAAAAAACAGAAAACTTTGGCAAGCATAAAGACTCAATATATTTATAAAAACGTGACTTGGCACAGTGTGTGGCACACTGGAAGAATCCAAATAATGTTTGATGGATAAATGCTGGATGAAAGGATGGATGGACATAAGAAGTAACACCTTACATGTTACCACTTACTTCTCTGAGGCTTTCCTCAATCCTACCTGATAACTCTAACTTCCTTCTCTTTGTTTTGTAAATAACTTCATTACAGTTTCATTTCTGCATACTGTGATCATTTGACTTATTGATTTTCTTCCAGACTTAACCGAAACATTTAGCAAATGGAACCTACATCTTCAATTCTATACTTTAGCACCTAATGGCCAGCATACTTACAGAGCCTCTCAAACAGTTGAGACTCTGAGGAAAAGTCTCTAAAAACAAGATTGCAACTGCCCACTTAAATGCCACTTACCCAAAGTTATCAAACATACTCCAACCTAACACTTCTGTGATATCCTCATTTCCTCCTTCTGGGCATCATACAAACTCAACCATCCTCTCCTTATACCATACCCTTAAGAAAACTCAGTAAACTTGTTTTAATGGATTCATGAATTTACAAATGTTTTAAATCCTATCTTCTGACTGAAACTGCCTCCAAAACATAGGAATTTGATTAATAATCCAGCAAATGTTTATTAAACATTTGCTCTGTCTCCTTTCTCTGAATTTTTCCTCTTCCTTGGAGTCTAATCTGTGATCTCTCAGATACCACCACTTTCATGTACATCCTGCCTACCCCTAAACTCTCTAGCCTCACATAAGAGAAAAACTTACCATTATCAACTTAATATAGCTATGACAGTACAAATTGTTCAAGATGAACCTTATTGCAAGTCAAAAAGGAAAAAATACAGTAGTATAACAAAATTCAGATCTTTGAATTAAATTTTAACCTCTCAATATCATTTATTAAATAAATAATTAAAAACAACTTCTCTGTCTAGATGCTCAGAAATTAGGAGAAAGGGGGGGGGGGCTGGAGTTGTGGCTCAATGGTAGAGCGCTTGCCTAGCATGTATGAGACACTGGGTTCAATCCTCAGCACCACATAAAAATAAATAAAATAAAGGCATTGTGTTCATCTACAACTAAAAAAAATTTTAAAAAGAGGAAGAGGAGGAGGAGACAAAAGAGGAAGAGGAGGAGGGAGAAGAAGGAGAGGCAGAAGAGGACCAGGAGGAAGAGAAGTAATTGAGGCCCAAGATGTCCTCCCTATCTTGAAAACCAATTTGTCTACTTCCCTATCTGTATTTCAAAGTCCATCTCAAATGGCACTTTCTCAATGAGAAGAATCTCTCTGGAAATTCTTTCCTTAGGCAAATAAAATTATTTTAAATTCTATTCTCAAGGCACTTCCCTCACATCTCTACTCTGGCATTTCTCACATTAAACTAGGACAAGTTCTTTTAAATTTAAAGTCTCCATCTGAAGACTGTGAACTCCCTCAAGACAAGGATCACCTTTCTTTGAAGTCCAGAAGCACCCAAACAGTATCTGACAAACATTAGGCATTAATTTTGCCATCATGGCCCACAATTACCAAGAATCTTCATTCCTTCCACTACATCTTAATGCCATAGTATATTTGTTCATTAAATCACTCATTCATTCAACAAATACTCATCACATAATGTGTGCCTAGTTAATACAAGATAGTGGGAGTATCTAGGGAATAAAACAGACCTGGTCCCTAGATTCAGTCTTCGAAATCTAATGTAGGATACCATAAAGGTTGTATGTTTATAAACAATGTTCTCTAGGTCATCTAGTCAGTCCTACAGTTTTAAGTATCATGTTAGGTCAATAACTCCTGAAGTTATATTGAAGCCTATCTTACCAATATGTTTTGGTAAGATGCACAATTGCCTTCTCAGTGCTTTCTTTTTTCTTTTTTTAAAAGTATTTATTTAGTTGTATATGAACACACAGTATCTTCATTTATTTTTATGTAGTGCTGAAGATTGAACCCAGTACCTCACACATGCGAGGCAAGCATTTTACCACTAAGCTACAGTCTAAGCCCCAGCACTTTCAACTACATGTCTAGTAGACATCTCACACTTAATGAGGCCAGAAAAGAACTCAAGACACTCCCTCACTACACGTCCTTTCCCAGGTACCCCCAAATGTCCAAACCATTCACCCAGTTGTTCAAACTCTTCTTAATTTTTCTCCCCTGATCCACAAATTGTTATTAAGTCCTACTATCTTTAGCTTCAGAATATAACCAGTCTACTTCAATCTTAATTAGCAAGAACTCCATTTATCTAGACTACTCATTGGTATCCCTCTTACTAATTTTGCTTCCTCATCCTCACCCAATTTCCACACTTTAGGGTGATTTTTCAAAAACATTATTATCAGATTGCAATTAAAATACTACAACATTTAGAATAAAATCCAAACTTCTTACTCAGTCTCCAAACGGGGTATGATCTGGTCTCCACATATTACTCTGTTCTCTCTGGTACTACTCTCCTCTAACTTATGTTCCAGCCACCCTAAACTCCTTCACAATCACACCTTAAGGCATTTGCACTTGCTATTCCCTGGGCTGTTTCCTTGCTCTTCCTAAAACTGGCTCCTTCTTTTGCAGTCAGATGTTAACTCAAGTGTTACTTTAGAAGATTTTTCCGATTGCCTTTTATACATCCCACACCAGTCACTGTCATAACACCCTAGCAAGTTTTCTTCAGAGCCCTTATCAATGTCTGAAACTACATTGTTCATTATTTGGCATTATTCTCTATAATGTGAGTTCCAGGAGAGCAGGAAACTAATAAATTACATTCATTGCAAAAAAAAAAAAAAACAAAAACAGGTATATGGGGGGAATATAGGTATATGGGGGAAATGGGGGCTCTGATGTAGTTTAAGACATCAGGAAAAGCCTCTCTAAAATAGTGTAGAAAGCTGAGAATAAATAAAGAAATATGGGATAAACTAAGGATTTTAGCCAGAGAAAACAATATCAAAATACCAGGAAGTGAAAGATACCATGGCACATTCAAATAACTGCAGTTCAATATGGCTAAGACACAAAGAGGAAAATGAACACATAAGCACAACTCAGATTATGCAATGCTTTGAAGGATTAGTCATTATTCTAAAGGCAAGTAGAACAGTTTACGAATTTTAAGAAGGTAAGTGATATATTTGCACCTGTGTAAAAATCACTCTGAACCAGCTGGAGGGGAAAAAGAGGAAAGGCCAGGTGACAGATTAGGGTGCCCTGATTCAGGCAAAAAAAAAAAAAAAAAAAAAAATGGTGGCCTGGTTTAGGGTGACAGAGATGTAGAAAAGACAGACTTAAAGGATATTTAGAATTTAGATATGTGGAGATGAAGGGAAAGTGAGAACTCAAAATGAATTTCAGGCTTCTGCTATAGAAAAATCTACTGAGATAGGAAGCAGAGAAGGAAGCAGGTAAGCTTAAAACTTCTGTACTGAGCCACTTACACTCTTGACTAATTCCCAAGTAACTAATAAGGATTAGAAATGTTGGGTTTTCCTCTTCAAAGCCAACTAGGGCTAACAATGCACGAAGTAAGTAGGTTTTAAATGAATGTATTCCAACGACTGGATTACCCTCTTCATAGATGGAGCTACTTGGAGCAATCAGATTATTTTCATTCTGCTCAGGAGCAAGAAAAAGCCTGTGCCTCCAACTCAGTCCAGTCCTATGCTATGAAGTTTTCTTCACATTTTCAGACTGAAGTGTTCCTTCTCCGAATCTACTACTCCTGTGATAAACCCCAAAACCAGCAAAATCCACATAGTAGCTTAGTCTCTGTCTTTCCTGGACAGTGTACTCCTCGAGGCAGGGTGGCCTCTTTCACCAAGGCATTCCTCACAACTAGCAGACTAAGTAGAACGACTTGAATGAATGAACTGACCAATGAATGCCTTCAGGTGTTCCCAGTCCAGAAGAAAATCCAAACCCTAGGTCTCGGGGTCTCGCACGTCCTTATCCCCTCACAAACCCCAAACTTGCCCGAGCTCACCTGGGTCACGAACTCCGCATTGATCTGGGACACCGTAGGGGCTACGATTTTCTTTGGCTGTACAGGGGCCGCCATCGCCACACTCTCCTTCCACTCCGGTAGCAAAGGGCCCGGAGGGGACTCCAGTGCACCTCGTAGAAGAAGCTGCAGCACCTAGTCTCCCGATGAAGAACCCGCTGATCCGGAAATCTTCAGCCCTCTGTCCCACACGGAACCCGTAGAGCGGTGCGTGCCGCTCCGGAAGCGAAACAAAATGGGGCGGGATTTCAATACCAGTGTTAAGTCTGAGCTAGAGAGCCAATGGCTTCAACCTCCCCGGAACACGCCCCCCAATGGGCAGCAGAGAAAAAACACCAGCGCTCAGGATTGGGGTCACAGGGAGAGGCCAGGCTGGCTGATGGTGTTGGATGGGGGTTCTTTTGAGGTTAATGAGAGGTAGGGGTCGAGGAATCGGGATTTTTTTTTCAGTCCTAAAGAAATCTGTGATGTAAAAAATACACTGGAAATCGGAGACTTTAACTTTCTTATTTTATGTAGCTATGGGTTGACATAAAATAAACTACACTTATAGTGTGAAATTTTAACATAATTATACATCCATGAAGCCATCACTAGAATCATATAACTTCTTTAGGAAAGCATCTGTTCAGATTTTTGTTTGCAGATACAACACCCTTAAAGTTTCCTACCTACCATCCATCTCAGGCAGCCACTGATCCTCTATTACTAATTTGCTTTTTGCAGAATTTTAAATAAATTAAATATTGCAGTATGTGCCTTTTTTCCTTCTTTCACTCAATAAAATGATTTTGGAATTCATCCAGTTGTTGCATGTAATTCTTTCTTATTACTGAAAAATATTTCATTTTCCAGACATACTACAGTTGGTTAATTTGTTAATTCTTCTATGAGTACTTGTGTATAATTTTTTTTATGGAGACATGTATTTCCTCTTAAGTATCTAGGAGTGAAATGGTTAGAAGATATCATAGGTGTATGTTTAACTTTTTAAGACTCTTCAGCTTTCTAAATAGTTGTATACCAGGAGCACGTGAGATTTCAGTTCCTTCTCATCCTCACCAACGTTAAAATTTTTATCTATTTTAATAGGTATGTGATGTATCTCATTATGGGTTTAATTTGCATTTCCCTAATGAATAGTACTGATGAACATGTTTTCATGTGCTTATTTACCATTCATATAACTTCTTTAGGAAAGCATCTGTTCAGATTTTTGTTTTTAAATTGGATTACTTGTTTTCTTATTCCTAAATTTGTATACTCCCATCACTCACAAATTTACATACAAATATATCTCTAGTAAACTCTCCTGGATAAATAACAGGCTGGAAACTGGTAACACTATTGCCTACAAGGAGGAAGAACTGGGAGAAAGGGAAAACAGGAGTAGGGATGGCGAATTTTATACTTTATACCCTTTTGTTACTTCTGAATTTTGTAATACATACCCTGTTCAAAAGTGAACAGTGTGAAAGAAGAAACAAAATATCAGTTGGTCTGAAGATTAAACTAAATGTAGATTCCTTTTTTCCTCTACATTCTATTGTATAAGTTGTTAGTATAAAGAGCTAGAGATAAAAATTTGCATAACACTTTAAAAGCAACAATATTTTGAATAATTATTGACATTTTGTTTCCAAATGTAGTGTCTGACACAGTAAAACAAAATTGTTCAGCACTTTAATGATGAATATTGACACATAAATAATGTTTTGACAATCAGAAGCTGCAAGAATTGTATTTATATAATGTGTTATAGTTATAGCATATAGTTAAGCCTGCTGGAAGTATGTTAGTGAGCAATAGGCTTGAGGGTTAAAAGCTTTCAAATCTAGGGAAAGGAAACTATCTTCATTGCTGAGCACAATGAGAAACCATTTATTGGAAATTACTTTGGGAAGAATTTTCAGTGGTATAGCAGATAGGTTGGAGTAGGTCACCGGGGGATAGGAATACAAACTGGGCAACTATTGCAAATCTAAGGCTAAAGAACAGTGACTAAATTTGGTTCTGGCAATAAAAATGAAAAGGGAAAAATAAATGTGGAAAACACTAGGAAAATAAGAAGTAGTGATCCTTGTCCAAGCAGTTGAAAGAACTGTGGATCATATGTAGCTTTCTAGTGATTTGTGTGAATAGTAATCCTACCTCCCTGTCAGTGGTTGGTTCAGAAATGTGCTTCTGCAGCAATTCTGTTAGATGAAAGATGAGGTTTTTGTAGGCTTCTGAGAAAATTGTTCCATGCTCTTGCTGTTTCCAGGTCTACTCACTTCCTACCCCACTCTACCTCTCATTATAAACAAAGCATCCTAAAACTAGGATAATAAAGGAAAATAGCCTATCATTGTGAAAGAGCAGACAGAAGGAAGCAGAATCAATTCAATGCATTCAATAGCTCTAAGGCTAACCTCATCAGTGAAATTCAAGCCATGTAAACCAATAAAGGTCCTTACTACTAAAGAAGTTTGTATCAGGTGTTTTGTCACTTGCAACCAAAGGCATCATAACTGAATAGGGAATACATAACTGAATAGGGAAAATGTTTGAGGTAGAGGGAAAGAAACCAATGGAGAGGGGAAAACTAGATACCAGGAAAAAAGAAGGGCCCGTTAATGAAGTTCCTAACAGGGGGCAAGGAAGAAAGATGGATGAACATTTATTGAGAAAAATGTCAAGAAAGATTGTAAGAGTAAAAATAAAGTGATCTGTGAGTGAAGAGGAGAGAACTTAGAATACATATTGGATTGGCTTTTATATCAGCACAACAGAAGGCAAACTCATCTTCTGAAAGTGAATAAAAGATCTAAGTCACAGATTTTAAGAGGATAGGCCTCTTGGTCCATCAACCACATAAACACCACTTCCTTCAGAGCTGGCTTCATGCTTCTGACTCACCTAGCACCTTCCAGAGGCCATGGCTGGGCATCTGTGTCCACAATGTTTCCTGCTCCAAGACACAGACCACAAAGAGCCCAATGCCCTCCTGGTCTCCTCTTCCACTTCTGCCACTAGATTCCCAAGGTGAACTCCACAGGCCAGCCTTTTCCCCTCCATTCATGCCCATATGCCCAGTCATTTTATACATTGTATAAATATATAAATATAATATGTGAAGACATCTTAGTCTTTATTTTTGAAACAATTTTTAGGCTTGTTCCAGGGATCTCTGTGCTGCTTGTACTGTATTGACTTTTTGTCAAAAAGAGAAAATTAAAAATAAATAGAAGCAAAAGTTTTGTAATTATTGTTTCATTCTCTTATTTCTTTTAGTATACTTAATATATACCTGAGAGCCTACTGTTGGCTAAACCCTTTATTAAGCCCTCTAAAACATTTTTTAAAATGCATTTCATTGCTTTCCAGAACCATGTAATTCATCACAGTAGTTCTCAATGTGCACTTTCATGACAGCAATAGCTAACCTGTGTAAAAACAAACTCCTGGACCCCAACCCAAATACTAGCCCAGTAATCTGTGCTTTTAATAAGGCCAATGCACACTGAAGTTTAGAACTAATGTGTAATGGGAGATCAACTGACAACAGAGTTGCTATAGTTTGGATATGGAATGTTCCCAAAGGCCCATGTGTTAAAGGCTTGGTCCTAAGCTTAGGGCTGTTGGAAGCTAGTGGAAACCTTTAAGAAATGGGGCCTATGGGAAGTTTTAGGTAATTGTGTTGTGCCCTTTTAAGGGGATTATGGGACATGAGTTTCTTGCTCTCACTCTGCATTTCTAAGTCAGCTTGGGGTGAATTTGCTTCACCATTTGTACTGCTTCACCAGAGGCCCCAACATTTGGCAATTGACCATGGACTGTCTTCGAAATTGTGCCAAAATAAAATTTCCTTTTGTTAAAGCCGAATATATCACATATTTTGTTACAGTAATGAAAAGCCAATAAAAGAATTATGACAAATAGTAGTGGAAGCACAAGGAATAGAGTGCCTGGGTAAATCAGAAAGGCTCCCAGAGGTAGTATTTACTCAAACTTCAAAGGATCAGTAGACACCTGCCTATGTAAATACAAAATATTTATATTCCACTTAATACCACTGTCATTTCTTTACCATTATGTGCTCATTTTTCTTAGTGCTAATAGAATTCTAGCATTTACCCCTGAAATTCTACTCTTTTAATTGGCAAGAGAAATGGCAAGATAGGGATTAACTGTTCTTCCTTCTCTGAAGATTCTAAAAAGGAGATACCACTCTGCATCACAAAACAGTCTCTGCAAATGTTATTCCTAACAAAGGATTTTTGTAATACTCAGGCTTCAAAGACCATTGCTACTTTCTATAAATATCTGTAATTCTAACTGGTTGTTTTATGTAACAAGTATATTGAAATTTGTTTTCTGTGAGTTTTAAGCACATGTTTTCTCCCATATTTGTGGAATGAAAGAAAAAAAGAATAAAACCTAAGTTTCTTCTTTGAACAGAGTGTAAGTTTCTGTCTAAATTAATACTTGGTAGACCAGAGGCAATAACAACTACTACTAGTAGTAGTAGTCTCATTGTAACACGGGAGAAACTATTTCTGTTATTTCATTAGTACAAACTGGGAGAAGGSCAAAGACAAGAATGGGTAAATGGATAGAATACCATAGGACATGCAATGGATTTAACTGAGTCTTTTGTAGGTAATAAGGATCTCTCCAAGGAATATAGTGTTAATATGATAAAATTCCATATAAGTTCAGAATAGGTTAGATTGGAGTGGGCCCACAATAATTTTTAACAATGAGTGCCTTGTTTCTATAACATGAGTTAAAAAAAAAGTACAAATTGTGTAACTTGAAACTTTATTTTTAAAATATTCTGAGGTTTTTCAAGATTTTAACCACCATCTACCTCCCATGAATACATACATTTTTATCTTAAAATTATAGACCTTATTGCAGTACAAAACAAGAAACAATAATTCTAATCTAGCTAATCAAATTCCTCCAGTAAACAAACATGCTACAACCTGGAATCACCTAAACTAAAATTCTAGTTCTCTTTAGAAGATATTTATAGCCACCTCCCCCCTCCCAGAAAACCAAAGTAATTGATTCAACAACACTAATAGTTCTAGCATGCAGCAAACCATCATTTAACAACTGTTTAGTCTTCTTAACACAGACATGACTTTATTTTCATTCCTATAAAGTTTCCATAATAAGCTTGTACTGATAATAAAGGTAAATAAGTATTTTGTTACAGGTACTTCAAATAGCACTACAGTATATCTTTGACAAAATTTTTACAATTTTCCAACTTTCAATATGAAACAGCTTAAAAAGGCATGGGTCAAAAAAAAAGTATAGTTGCATCACTTAGGCAAATAAAGTCTCATACAGTCATACAAGCACAACACTCAGAACTCTCCCTATTTAGGTTGGGAAAGAAGACATCTCCATCAAATAAAATTATATAAATAGCCTAAGCCAAAAATCCATAATTTCAGACATATTATGGAAATAACTCTTGAACTTTTATTCTTGGAAATTATAAACTAATTATTCCTTGATTTTATGTAATAGGTATGTTATTGAAGAGTTTTGTGTAAAGCAAATTCTGTAAACCATATCTTGCTTGCACTGGAGAAACATTTCTCAAGGAAACATGAGAAAGTATTCTTGTGATTCTCCTTTGCTTTAGCAGAATGCCTCTCCCTAAAAACAGGCACATTTGTACATCACTGGGTATTATGTTGTCCTATTTCATCTCTGTAAATTAAACTCAAGTTACTTAAAATTCACTTGTGGTAAAAGCAAGCAGACCAAACCCCTTCCCCTTCCCACCCGCCCACCACCACAAGACAGTTCTTAGAATATAATGCAAAACTTACAACTGTTCATTTCAAAGAGGGTTTTTCACTATATTTGTATGCTAAGATAAATACTCACTTGTTCCTTTCACCTTAGAAACACAACCATTTCTTTTGTTACTAGAAAATGTCATTCCTAAAGATTTTTATAAACAATGGCACATGTGAAGGACAATTTGTGATTAAAACTTTCTCATAGTTTATGACTAAATGAAATATTACCCAAATCATAATTCTGTTTAGAAAATGTATAACCAACTATGTTATTCCTATACAGGAATGATTACCTTACTAATCAAAATACAACTTAATAAGGATCAAAGTAACATTCCTTAGTATTTCTTGCAAAATTATAAAGGAATAAAAACTAAAACTACATATATTCAATGCCATTTGATCAAACCTAGAACAGATTCAGTTAAATCACACAGCCACTCAATTAAAGAGGCATTAAAAGTTTTGCTAAAATAAATGTAAAAATCTTATTGAAATACATTTTTCTAGATGAGAATTTTGTGAATTACTGCTGTTAACTATTAACAAGCAAATAGATGAAATGCATTTATTCTTCTAAAAAGATAAAACTGTGTACATATTATTAAAAAAAATATGGCACTTGGAAAATATTCCTGGTGAATTATGATAAATGTGGATATAGCCTAGCCTCTCATATTTTTAAGTTTTTTGGGGAAAGACAATAACAGGACAAAAAAACCAAATCCTCATCCCTAAGGAAAAGGATATTAAACAATCACACAATCCTAATCTATTAACTTTGAAAAGACTTATGAAAATAATGTTGTAAATTTCCCCATCCACTTTCACATTATCTCTATGTTTTTAAAACTTATAAGAAAAAAAATGTTTTCCAATGAAATTTGAGCTACAGGTGGACAAAATTTTGCTTTCATGTAACATAAAATACAGGGGCACTATTTGCTCCAAATAAAAGGCCATTTTTGCCTTTCAGTCTTTTGAGAGTGTGTGTGTGTGTACACACACACACACACACACATATATATAAATATATATATTAAAGGAGACGGCATGTCTCAAGGAATAACTCCTTTCAAAAATAAGGTTGTGGGGCTGGGGATATAGCTCACTTGTAGAGTGCTTATGTTGCATGCACAAGGCCCTGGGTTCAATCCCCAGCACCACAAACAAAAGGGGGGAAAAAGGTTGCTTGTGTAACAGGGAATTATAACTTCCAATATTATAAGTATGCTTATAATATTAAAATAAATGTTTATTTTATGACATTAAACCATGTTCTTCCTTTTAAAAATTAATTTGGCTGTTCCTAAAACATTGTATTAATGTTCTATGTATCTTGTCTCCTTACCACATAGGACAAGAAACTGCCTATGCAATCATTCAATATGCAGGGCTTTAGATAAAAATGTTTTAAAAGATCACCAGAGACAAGCATGTTGATGATTTTCAGTTACATAACTGAATCTAAGACAGCTATTTTCTCTTGTGGTCGTTCTTTAAAGTGAGTAAGTTGATGTCTCTTCCAGTGAGGAGCCTGTCTGAATGTTTTGCCACAAACTGAGCATTCAAATGGTTTCTGCCCTGCATGAATTAGATAATGCCTTTCCAGTTTAGATGGAGATCGGAAACTTTTACAACAAACACTGCATGGGTAAAGGAGGCCATCATTTCTCTCAGGCTGCCCTGAATAACTATAACAATGGTGGCTTTGCTCTGATTCCAAAAGTGCATTAGAGAGATAGGGTTGTCTGTTCCTACAATGGGTACCAAGAATGAAATCCTCTGATTCTGCCTTACCTTCTTTTTCAGATATCTGACCTGACTCTGAAACCTCATATTTTTGAAAGCCAAGAGACTGACATTGTTCAGAAGCATTACAGCTAACATTATCACCTTGTTGACTAAGAAATTTGTTCATATTTTCAAAATCTAGTTGGTAAAGAGAACTATATGCACCCTTTTCAATATGTGTTTCTTTATGTCTTTTTAAGTGAGCTGACTGTCTAAAAGATTTCCCACAATCACTACAGGCAAAAGGCCTCTGTCCAGTATGAATTAAATAGTGTCTTTGTAGTTTGGATACAGAAGGAAAAACTTTCTCACATTTATCACAAGGAAACATCTTATGTCCATTATGTATATTTTCACTTGGAACTGAAAAACCACACTGAAGCACTTCACAGTTATTAAAGAGTTCCTCACCTGATGAACCATAGATGGACAAGTCTTTATTATTCACTGAACTATCCATAGTTAATATGCTTTCTGTCATAAGGACATCTTTCAAATTTTTCCCCATATTTTGGCTCTGGAATTGCTTTTGCCAAGAAAATGGCAAAGTCAATATTTTCTTCTTTTTATTACCAACTGTTTTAAATGTTCCATGTTTGCCAAGAGAACCCACAAATGTTCTCTGGGCTTGTTCAGAGTTCTGCTCACCAGAAATTAGATCATTATTTTTCAAAAAACTGTTTTTAAATACCTTTTTCTCTGTTCGAAAGTTATCTAATTTTTTACCCCCAGCACGTCTAAGCTTGGCCAAGATTTTTTTAACAATGGTTTTATAGTTGTAGCTTCTTTTGAGCCTCCTTGGAATTTTGCCACCTCTGGCAGGAAAACACTTGTGTCCATTGAGAATCTGCTCTGATTCAAAACATTCTTCACACTCTGAACACTGAAAAGGGACAATATAAATAGAGTGGACATCAAGTGGATTATTCTCAGATTCACCCATATCGACATTTTCAAAACCATCTTGCTTTGTATTTAATTTATTAGGCAGGGGGCATGATTCTGGACTCTTCACCTTTAATGAAAGAGTCTGAAAAGTCTTATTCCTAGTATGGATTTGTTTATGCTTCAGAAGTTTGCTTTGAATCTTAAATCCTTTTTGACAAAAACAACATTGAAAAGGTCTTTCTTCTGAATGTGTGAGTTGGTGGATTTTTAAATGAGTTGACTGTCGGAAAGATTTACTGCACAGGACACATTTAAAAGGCTTCTGACCAGTATGAATAAGTGCATGCCTATCAAGTTTTGATTGTGACGGAAACATCTTGCCACAGATTGTACATGCATGAATACTCTTTCTTCTCTTCGTTGTACTGTACGTGGGATCAGGCTTAGAGCATGAGTGTAATGCCCATCTCTCCTCGCTGGTAAAAGTGTTATACACTCCATATACTGGCTTTTCTTGCTTGGCCTCCAGCAATCTTCTGACCTGCTTAACATCATTCTGATAGGTTTCATTGTGAAGTTGCTGGTGCTTCACAAACGTCTTCAGATTTTTAAAGTGGCGTTGACAAATACTACATTTAAAAGGCAGATTATGAGTTAGCTGATGCCTCTCCAGATGAACTAGTTGTCTAAATGTTTTATGACAAACATCACATTCAAATGGTTTTTGACCAGTATGAATGAGATAATGCCTAGCCAGTTTTGATGGTGTTTCAAACTGCTTGAAGCAAATATTGCAAATATATGGCCTGTTTCTAGGCACTTTGTTGGCTTCTACACACTCCTGAATCTTTAGCATTTTAAAATTGCTTTCATCCATCATATTTTTCAGTAACACACTCTGATGAGCTCCATAGTGTTCTTAAACTTCAAATGTCTAAAAATAAAAAAAAAAGTATTAAAATAAAATTCTTTATATTCATATGAAAATAAATTATGTTGTTTCCTTTGGCTGTAGATATTAAAGGTAAAGGAGAATTTGGATTCTTCTTGTGTTAAAAAGTAAATTAACCATTTTAGATAAATTCTTCAAAATCTTAATAGTATTTTCACACATGAAGGTATGCTGCATATTAGAATATCTAACCACACATAACTTTTATTTAAATTATATTATTAAGTAGATTTAATCAACATTTCATTGCTTTATCGATTTTTTTGCTTTGTCATTTTTCAAAAAATGGGCTAGAAAGGCAGTGTATGAAAATTAAAACATAATACTAGAATATGATGCATTTGCATTCAATTAGAGCACATATTGTAGATATGCTCTAAAAATGGACTGTAACTTATCAAAGTTACATTTCTTAGGCACACTAACTCTATTTTTAATTACTTCTTTAGATTAACAAAGGCAACATGGACAACTAGGAGAAAATTCTGGAAGACCTGGGTTCTAATCCTGAATTTTTTACTACATGATCTTGGTGATGAGAAGTAAGTAAAGATTCCTTATCTGTGAAACAGGGAAATGTCTCATAGAATGGCTATCACACTATGTTACTGTGCAAATCAACAGAGATAATGCATGTGAATGTGTTGGAAAACTTGAAGCAATATATTATAAGGTATTATTTACCTTACAATACCTTATAAAATGAGGTATTATTTATCTTAATGCTAATCAAATTTTAAAATTTTATTCTTGTCTCTTTAATTACATTTTAGGGTTTCTAACTAATAGATTTACAGTTCTTTTTATTTCTCCTTTCCTTTCCACTTTGTTATGGACTTCCCCCAAAAAAAGTAGAGAAAAATGACGACAACAAATTGCATTCATATATATTTATGAATAAGTCATTAATTGAATGTTGAAGATGGTTCACTTGTCAGGCAACATAATAAAAAGGTGATTCTGACCTCATAACATAAAAAATTCCTTCCATGCAAGACATATAAAAGTTTATAGGCACTTGCACAATCATAGTACACACTATCTTTTTGAAAAGCCAATTTTCGGGGCTGAGGTTGCAGCTCAGCGGTAGAGCGCTCGCCTAGCATGTGCAAGGCCCTGAGTTTGATCCTTAGCACCACATAAAAATAAATAAATAAAATAGAGGTATTGTGTCCAACTACAACTAAAAAGTAAACATTTTTAAAAAAAGAAGCTAATTTTCTTCTACTGCTACTACTACAATACTGCCCTGACATAGGGAGTCAGAGCCAAGCACAGTGGCGCACACCTATAATCCCAGTGGCTCTGGAGGCTGAGGCAGGAGGATAGTGAGTCCAAAACCAGCCTCAGCAACTCAGTGAGGCACTAAGCAATTCAGTGAGACCATGTGTCTATATAAAAAAGGGCTGTGCTGTGGCTCAGTGGTTAAGTGTCCCTGGTTCAATCACAGTTCAAAAAAAGCCAGAGATTTACCAAAAAGAAACAAACAAACAAAAAAAAAATATCACCAACACCAACAAAAGAACACAACTATGCCATCTCTCTTAGTCTAACGTATCTTCTAAAAAGTTGATCACTCTATCAGAAACTCAGTGTTCTTTTGTCAACTGATTTGGCAAATGGCAAACATATATGCTATTTACTGTTTTCTCTTAGAAGATACCTTAAACACAAAATCAAATATACCCATGGTTATTTTCTTTAGCCATGTGAATTTAGAAATAGGGAAAATAAAATAAGAATAAATGCTTTCTACTGGATGCTTTATCACAGTGTTTTTCAAACTGCAGGTCACTACTCATTATTCGACTTAAGTCAACTTACTGGATCATGATCAGCATTTTGTTTAAGAGTAGAAAGTACCAGAACACATCATATAGCAACGATAAACACTGTTTTGTGAAACATCTACAGGAAAAGGTGAAGAAGCCTGTGAAAGGGGCTGGGGATGCGGCTCAAGTGGTAGTGCGCTCGCCTGGCATGCGTGCGGCCCGGGTTCGATCCTCAGCACCACATATAAAGATGTTCTGTCCGCCGAAAACTGAAAAATAAATATTGAAATTCTCTCTCTTAAAAAAAAAAAAAAAGAAGTCTGTGAAAGCCCTTTCTAACATACTTCTTTGCACAACACTATACAGAGAAACCACCAATAATCTCCAATAAATCAATCACTTTCTTCAAAGTGGCCAAGTAATCTATTAGAATGATAAAGGTAGGGGCCCATGGGATAAGATAAAATTACTATGGAAAGCATCAGTGTCCAGTTTTTTCCACTTGTCCCATATTACCCCAAAATATTTATTAAAAAAATCATCCAATTGGGGATGGGGTTGTGGCTCAGCGGAAAAGTGCCTGCCTCACATGTGTGAGGCACTGGGTTTGATCTTTAGCACCACATAAAAATAAATAAAATTAAAAGTATAAAAAAAATTTGTCTTTAAAAAAAATCATCCAATTAGAGACCAAATGGAAAATGCCCCACAATTATATGCAAAATAAAATCACCTGACCATAAGCTGCTATATTAATTTATAAAATATACCACACAGCCCAACAATCAGTTGTTGGTGCTATGAGTATGAACTGTCGCTACACTGAGCTAGAGAATTACAGGTGAACAACTTTCAAGATGCCGATAGTAAGAGTTGCAAGCATTAAAAGACATAAATCCAGTGAATTTAATTCGTATTGAGTCGTTAAGATGGTCCATCAGGACAATGACACACAATGAAATTAATAATCAAGCCTTTACTCACATCAATAGTAAAAACAAATCACAAGTTCTTCAGTAGTCTCTCAAACAGAAGGACACTATGTGAGGGTTAAGTGGATATAATGCATAGCAGGGAATATTCTTGTCACAGAGGAGCTCCTAACAAAAGGCTCCTACCTCTTATGGATTGGTGGGCCAGGAGGTTGGAGGATTAGGCGTGAAAGGACTGGAGTCAAACATGGAGAAAGGAGTGAAAGGACTGAAGGCAAAAATGGAGAAAAGTGATTCGGCCACAGCATTCAACAGGAAGACCTCCAAATGGAGGCACCTGGACCAGGAAAGAAGTTATGGTAAGAACACTGCTAACAGGAGGGGAAAGGCAAGTTTGTGACTGCAACTTCTTCCAGGCAACTGCAACTTTTGCACTGTCCAGGCAATAAGTCTGGTATGGGAGGGCGGTTTTACCCCATGAAGCCACGAGGCAAAGCCTAACAATTGTCTAAGGTCAATTAGAATTTTTAGGATTCTTTTTTTTTGGTTGGTGGTGCCAGGGATTGAACCTAGGGCCTTGTGCATGGCAGGCAAACACTCTACCAACTGAGCTATATCCCCAGCTAGGCCTTAGTATTTTGGTCTGGAGCTGGGCTTCTAAATTCTCTTTGACTGCTTCTTCTTCCATTTAATAACTTTTTGTGGAACATACAGAAAAACTCAAAAATAACAATGACAAAACCCAAACCAGAACTAGAAGACAAACATTTCTGACTATAACAGGGATTGACTACCATAGCTCCTGTGCCAAAACGGGTCTATGGTAGATAACCCATCACTAGCACTAAACACTAAGATTGGATACTATTGTCATTTGCCTCCCAATCATGTGGGAAAGCACTTACTGGGAGCCCTATGTTGTTAGAGCCATTGGTGACAAGTGGTGATCTCATTCTCTATTTATAAGTAAAAGGTCAGGGATTTCCACACTCCAAATGCAATCCCCCATGTACTTATACAAGGATGCCCATGGAGTTCTAAATCCCATTTCTATTGATTTTCTGTTCTCTCTGCTGATTTTTTTTTTTTTGGTCGATAACATTAAAAAAAAAAAAAGCTAGGACTGTAATTTTTATGTTAAAGGAAAACAAAACTAAACCGTAAATCTGATGAATGGTTTAACCCAAAAACTACCCTGACAAGAACAAAACATATCACGTTGGATGATTATAAATAAATAAATAAAATCCAATGCTGCCTCATGATTTCAGGCTGAATTAACACATTAAAAAGACGTTAGGATATCACAAAAGTAAATGAATGAGAAACATAGCGACCTAAGGGAAAAGAGACTTAAGAGAAACACAGACAACTTTCAGTAGGGGAATAATCTCTGGTGGCCTTTGCTTCTTCCTCACTAGTTTCGCTCCACTACTCCCTCCCTCGCCACTCTCTGGGCCTGGAACCCTCACCTTTCCCTCCCCGTGGGACTACACTAAACAAAGAACCCTGACGACTAGTTCTCAGCCTAAACGCCCACAACCAATGAGCACCTAGGGGTGACTCGAGCCAAGAAACTATACACCTGGAAAGGAAGGGCAAGGAAGAAAACTCCTCTGAGGGTAGTCAGGAAAAAGAAAATAAATAAATAAAACCGTCTGCGACTCTACCCACAGAGGGGGGTTTGGGGGGAAGCCTCCCCTCCTTACCTTCCTCCTAAGAGATTCCCGCTCCCAGTGAAACAAACTCAATAGGCAGGGAAGTGGGAAATGAAGCTGAGGGGTGCTGTGGTCGTGGCACCCTGCTCTGGGTCCCCGGGCACCTTGATGGCATTTAGGCGGGCCTGACCCTCCCTGGGATTTACTACACCTCACACCCGGGTTCCTGAAGTCCTCCTCACGCACCTGGAGCCGGCAAGGGCCCAGCAGCCGCGCACCTCAAGGCGCGAGGGCAGCAAGCGCACGTCCGCAGGGTCTGCGCGGCGTCTGACTGAGCACGCAGGCGCGGCACGCAGGCGCGCCCCAAGATGCGGTCCGGCTGGAAACAGGTTCCTCCTATCTCTGGGCCGCTCGCCGGTTCTGGAAACCCGGATTCCAGAAGTGCGCTCCCAATCCCAGCGTTTGTCGCCTGCAAATGGGAGGGTGCATTTTCCATCTTGTTATGAAATCACAACTAGGGAGGGAAACCCTGTAATCAGGCTGGAAGGCTCAAGGCCTGGAAACGAGAGTCGTCAGCTCCCTGGATTAGCCCTCTGAAATGCAGAGGACTGATAAACAAACCGTGTATTAGGGTTTTTGTGTGTGTGCCAGGTCTGTCCCCAGCGCTCTCCGTACGTGAGCGTTGTGCTCAGACATAACTTCACTGTGGGCTCTACCAATGGCCTGGCAGCTGCGGACCTTGTTGGCCTAGCTGTGCCTCATTCATTTGATATATTTTAGACGTCTGTAATATACAAAACCCTAGTCTCTTAAGAGGCCCCGATAATTAGATAAAATGCATGTAAACTGCTCAGGATAATTACTAGTGTGTAATAGGTCCTCAAAGAACTATTATTTATTAATTTTTATGTTGATTAGAACAACTTTATGAAGTTCACCACTGTTTCCCAAATTACAGATATTTCAACAATATCCATTTTATGTGGACACAAGGGCCAAATATTGTTGCACAGTTAACAGACCAAGGTGGCACATTATAGCTAAATAAGATGCTAAGATGTTGACTAAAGATTTTGAGGACAAAGGCATTGCAGAAGAATTTATTGTCAGTTTTTACAGGTTCTGACTATAATCCTCTCATCTTGAGACAAGGAAGTGAGATTAAATGTCAAGCAAACTTTTCCAGCTGGACGCATCTTTTTGCATTACTTTCCAACAACCATTGATAACAACAACAACAACAACAAAGTTAGTTTCTTATGTTAGTATACTTTCCTCTTGGGTTGGGGAGATAATTAAGCTAATGAAAAGTAAATCTGTACTTTGGATATAGTACATAAGAAAATGACCAATAATAAATAAGCCTTTGCTTCTGACATAAGAACCTTGAAGGAATCAGATTTGTGAAATTGCTTTTTTTAAAAATTTTTAAAATTTTTTTTTTTTACTTGTTGATGGGACTTTATTTTATTTTATTTATTTACGTAGATGTGGTGCTGAGAATCGAACTCAGTGCCTCACATGTGCTGGGCAAGTACTCTACCACTGAGCCACAACCCCAGCCCTTTTAATTTTATTTTTTTGTATATGTAAATGGACAAGAATGCTTTTATTTTATTTGTTTATTTTTATGTGGTGCTGAGGATCAAACCAAGTGCCTCACGCAATCTAGGCAAGCACTCTGCCACTGAGATACAGCCCCAGCCCAGAAATTGCTTTTTCCAATAGTCACTTCCTCCAACAAAAACATGTATGCAGAAGGAAAAGGAAGGACTGTTCAGGTGTTCCAGATGCCAATCCTGGGGTAGGGATGCTGTTAGTTCATACAACCCCTGGAGGCTTGCTCCATTCTGTACTTTCTCCTGGAGAACTCAGCTTAGTCAAATCGTGCAAATAAACAATTGAACACTCCACCAGACACATAAATCCTTAGAAGAGATAACCAGGCCCTGAGAGAATGCTACTTGAAATTGTAGACCAAAGGAAGGTAGGATTAGTTCTTTATTCATTCCCTGCAAACAAATAGGCCTTTGCACCAAAAGCCTGAGAATAGAGTGTGGATAGCAGTTAGAACTTAGATAAGTTATTCTCCAAGGCCACATATCCCATATGATATCCTTTCGCATTTATTCTTAGAGCTAATTTGGAAGCCTCCTATTAAAAAAAAAAGGAAGAACTAATGTAAATAAGAGACATCAAGGAAGATTTTATTGAATAGGTGATATTTGAATTTGCACTTAGGGATGGATAGAATACAGATAAATAGAAAATGTGGGGTCAGGACTGAACATGGGAGGCAGAGAAATAGGATGAAAAACAAGGGAGTGTGACAAGGAAAAATAAAAGGACATGACAGATGTTTTGATTAGTAACTTATGTCTGTTACTTACTAGCTCAGTTCTTATAAGTTATTTAACCTTCCTGAGGCTCAGTTTCCTCATCTGTCAAACAGAGACTTATTCACTTCTTCAGTGACATATACTGAACATGAAAGATTCACTTCTAGGTATATAAAGATGAGGCAATAAGGCTTTTGACCTTAAAGTGGTGTTCAGCTCATAGGAGAGAACAGTATACAGACAAACAAGTACAAGAGATCTTATGTACAGAGTGGTTTGGGTGAAATAACATCTAAATCTTCCTGAGGGCTTATAGTGAAGATGGCCCCTGACCTTAGGCTTCATTCATCCTTCCTTCCATCCATCCTAAATATATTTTATTAAGCATGTCCTGTGTTCCAAGTTCTATTCTAAGCACTAGGGATAGAGTAACAGACAAAATACAAAGTCCAAAGTCTCTGTATTAGTAGATCTTATATTCTACTAAGGAAGTGCACAAATTAGATGAATGAAATAGATAATATGTTTAACATTGATAAGAATTGAAGAAAAAAAGTAATGTACAGAAATGAGCTATAAAAATTTTGCAGTATGGATTGTTGGCATTTTAGAATTTGGTCAGAAATGGCCTTACTAAGAAGTTCTGTGATTTTTTTTTTATTTGAAACCTGCTGGAAATGAGAGATCCTCCCCTACCTATGAGAGATGGTAGGAGGTAGGACTACACTGAGTAGGAACTTGTTTAGTAGACAATAGTGTGTGCTTTAGGGAGATAGTTGGGGAAAGGAAGAGACTATTCTAAAAACAGAAGACAGTGAAAGAGAGCACTACAAATAGGAAACTATGAATAGTTTGAAATTGCTGGAGTATGAAATGCAGGTCAGGGGAGAGGGAAATGGCAGGTAGAGATTCATTCAACCAACAATTTGACATGAATACTACTTAACAGACTTTGTGTAAGAAGCTACAAAAGGCCTTCCATACAAAGGTTTTTTTCTATTTTCTTTTTCTATATGTTATGAAAGATAATTGTACTTGAAAGCAACCTATAAACGCATCTTTTATAGCATTTTTAATACTATAAAGGCAGAATTTTTGAAATTGAGTTTACATGCTGTGAAAGCTGTCTTCTGCCCTCAAGTAACAGGCCTGGCAGGGAGGTTCCATCCTACCTCTCTAATCTTTCCTTTTTTCTCTCCCTCATCCTTCTGTGGAGCAACCAATACTATCATCTGTTTGCCTCCTGCAGATATCTACCCAAATCTGCACCCCTCAAATGTCAGCTTCTACCCCCAAGCAATTGTCAAAGAATTTTTCCAACAAAGACAGCTTTCCATTTATAAGAAGATTTTTATATATACTTCCTCAAGAAAAATATTCGCAGCCTCTTGCACATTTTGCTACAACTTCTGAGGGTCTTATGGCATTGGGATGAGGTAGAAAAGTGTGGGGGGGTGTGAGTAGAGAATTAATTGAGATCAAAAGATGAAGATCAGTTTGGCTGTATTTTATTTAGGCCAATTGGACCAACTCCACTTACAGGCTAGTCCCAGTTTCCTAAATACTTCCTGGAAATTTCTAAAGCTCCTTTGCTGATAATTAAATTTCTGGGTCTAGTTAGGTGTTTGGATTGTCCCACCCATCCCCCATCCCACTTCCCAAGTGTCCCTACTTCAAATTCCGTAACCCTCAGTTTCCAAAGTTTCCTAAAAAGAAGGCAGGATCCCCAACATAGGGGTTTGACCCTTTTGTTTACCCTTAGAATCAGAGCCAACCTCTTGACCTTTCATCAAATAGCCCTTTGACTGCTTTAAATTCAGGGTGTATATAATCTTTGCTGCTTATTTTAAACGGGACATACTTTTCTTTTCCTCTTCATCTTCTCCCCCTTCCTAACCTAGGGGGTGGGGAACAAGATTACCTTCACAGGAAGGAAAGATCTAGGAAGTGACTATCTCTCAAATTAACAAGTGAATTTTGACACACTAGCAGGGCCAGCTGGGATCCCTGGTCAGGGCATACCTGGAATGCAGCCTTTGAATAGCTTCTTTAAAAGCCATCTGTTTTTCCTGTTGGGGACAATCACAGCCTCTGGGACAGGAGTCCCCTATGTTTCTCCTTTGCTAGCAAAGCAATAAAACTTCTTTTTCTTTTTTCTCAAAACTGTGTCCTCATTTTTACATTGGCATGAATTGGCATCAGGGCAAAAACCAAGGTTTCAGTAATAGATACAGTCTATCAAAAAGCATCTGTCTTCACAAGAGCCAGAACATGTCATTTTCCTTCTCAGATGCCACCCACAAATAGGACTGTGGGTTTGGTTATTTTATTAATTTTTACTTATTTATTATTTAGTTGACACTTAAAATTGTACATATTTGGGGGTACCATGTGATGTTCCCATGTTTGGGTATTGTATAATGTTCAAATCAAAGTAAGTGTATTTATCCTCTCAAGCAGTAGTCATTTCTTGGGAGTGAAAACATACAAAATTCTTCTCATTGTTTTGAAACATGCAACCCATTATCATTTTCTATAGTCAACCTTCTGTACAGTGGCACCAGAAATTATTTCTCCTACTGTTATTATCAGGGTGTCTAGTTGGGGTCCAGGTCCTTGGTGTTCCTAACAAAGAATTGATCAAGACGTGCACTATTTAGAAGGCAAAGGACAGTGATTTATTGACTCTTATATGCTGAGCTGTGAGGTGTTCTCTTCCCTATATGGACCTGATTGAACACCATACTCCATTTGCCCCCAATGCTTACCTTATGATACCTGATTAGAATAATGTCCAATTTCCCCTATTGGTCATTTTAAAATACCTAACCTGTGGCAAGAGTTGTCATGGTGATAAATCCTCAGTGATGGGAATTGTTATGGTAATGGATCTTATAAAAGTAGATAAGATTCTGTCTTGTTATCTAGGGGCATCCTTCTTATACCCTGCCTCTGCCATCTTGGTGACCCTGAACTCCTACCTAACACTACCTA